CAACACCTTATTTTTTGAGACAGTTTTTCAGTAAACATGGTGTTGATCCAGTGAGCTTGATTGGTTTACCAGCAGACCCTAGGGATCCTCCTGTCTCTGCCTCTCCAAGTACTGGAATTACAGGTGAGTGCCACCCCACCCATCATTTTTATGTGGGTGTTGGGGATCTGAACTCAGGTCCTCATGCTTGTGTGACAAACATTTGATCAACTGAGCTACCTCTCTGGCCCCTAAATTAAAAAAAAATCATACATATATAACATTGTTCATTGCCAATAATCCCTGCCCCTTGTGTCCCTGTGTTCCTCTAAACAGCTTTATTTTTATACATGCATGATTTCATGTGACTATGAAATCTGGGATAAAACATGAAATTTGTATTTCTGAGACTGGCCTAATTTGCTCAATAGGACTATTTCCTATTGCATCCGTTTCCCTGTACATGATGTAACTCCATTTTTTTTTAAAGATTTTGTTTATTATGTATACAACATTCTGCTTCCATGTATGTTTGCACACTAGAAGAGGGCACCAGATCTCATAAGAGATGGTTGTGAGCCACCATGTGGTTGCTGGGAATTGAACTCAGGACCTCTGGAAGAGCAGTCAGTGCTCTTAACCTGTGAGCCATCTCTCCAGCCCCGTAACTCCATTCTTTTTGGCTGACAATGTTTCCACTGTGCACATGCACTACATCTTTAAGTCTGTACCTCTGTTGTCAGATCCCTAGTCTGTCCCATGACTGAGCTGTAGTGACTAGTCTGTGGTTTACATTGCTGTGTGAGTGTCTCTGTGATGTGATGACTTGTAGTCCTTAAGGCAGATGCCCAGGAGTGCTATAGCTAGATTCTATGGAGGATCAATTTTTTTGTTTGTTTGTTTGTTTTGGTGAAACCTGCATACTGATTTCCACAGAAGCTGAATTAGTTTACATTCCAACTGTTTGTATATAAGGGCTCCCTGTTCTCTAAATCCTCAACAGCACTTGTACCTAGTGGCTTTCTTAATGGTTGTCATCCTAGTCTGGGGTAAGATGGACCCTCATTAGAGTTTTCATTTGCCTTTCACCGATGGATAGATCGTGAGATTGAACATTTTTGTATGTTTATTGTCTTTTGAGAACTATATGTTCATTTCATTAGCCTATTTATTTATTTATTTATTTATTTATTTATTTGAGATAGGGATTCTCTGTGTAGCTTTGGCTGTTCTGGAACTTGCTCTGTAGACCAGGCTGGACTTGAACTCACAGAGATCCACCTGCTTTTGCCTCCCAAGTGCTGAACTAAAGGTGAGCGCCACCACTGCCCAGCTTAGCCCATTTGTTGTATTGATTTCTTGTTTAGTTTTTTTGGTTCTTTGTATATTCTTGGTTTCCTCCTCGGCCAGATGTATAGGTAGTAAGATTTTCTCCCATTCTGTATTCTGACTCTTCTGTCACTCAGTTGTTTTTCTTTTCTGTACAAGGGGTTTTCATCTCACAAAGTCCCCTATGTTTATCTAGGGATTTATTTAGTGAACAACTGGCATCCTATTTAGAAAGCTCTTGCTTAGGCCTATCTTTTTTGAAAACAATATATTTTCTTTTATAAGTGTTTTGCCTACATTGTATATAAATGTACTGCATGCACACCTGGGCCTGCAGAGGTCAGAAGAGAGCATTATTAGATCCCCGGAAAGTGGAGTTACAGATGGTGTGAACTGTCATGTGCGAGCTGGGAAGTAAGCCTGGGACCTCTACAAAGAGCAGCCAGTGTGCTAAACCACTGAGCCACTCTTTCATCCTCTATGTTTATATTTTGTAGGTTTTTTCGTCTTGTAGTTTCAGAGTTTCAAGTCTACAGTAAAGTCACCAAGAATTTTTTAAAATTAATATTCTGCCATTTAAAAAATGTTTCTTATATCTAATACTCTGAAGGCCTAGTTCTTTTTAGTCTTTATTTTCTTTATTTCTTTGTAAATGTTAATATTTGTGGGAGCATTTGTGTGCCATAGCACACAGGTGAGAGTTGATCGATCCTTCCACATTATGGACTCAAAGGTTGGAACTCAGATCATCAGACTTGACAGCAAGCACCTTTAACATGCTGGCCCCA